ACGCTCTCTGGTGCTGAGGTTCCTGGTTTTTGACTCGAAGGTTCCTTTGGGGCCACGGGCTCATGCTCCTTCTCAGCAGCAGAGACTTTCTTGCCTGCTCTTGTGTCTGGGCTGGGACCAGCTTTCTGGTTACTTGGAGATGGCCTGTCCTCGCTTTCTGAGGCCCTTTCCGGGGCCCTTTTGGGAGCCCTTTCAGAGGCCTCTTCAGAGGCCCTTTTCAAGGCCCTTTTTGAGGCCCTTTCTGCCCTAGCACTCTGGGCGATAGCCCTTTGGATGGTTTTCTCTGCCTTCTCCTGTAGCAGAGTCTTTGAACTGTCTGGCTTCAGTTTTGTCTTTGATTTACGCCGTGTCTTCTTGCCTGAAAGAGATTCAGGATGCAAACATCCGTTTTATGTTGCTGTTTTGATTTTAAAGTGTTTTATTGGAGCATGTAACACATATACAAAGTTCATACACAGACAAAAAGTGCTCCATTTGATTAGTGCTCAAGAGTGAGAACACTCCTGTTCACAGCGCCAAGGTGAGGCTCACAGCAGCCCAGCAACCCTCCCCTCACCCTAACCACACGTGTCTGCACTGCCTGTTCTCACATACCTTGTGAAGATAACCGTGGTATGTACCTTTAGCGTCTGTATTTTTGCACTCCATGTTTCCTTTGTGACATTCATCAGTACTGTCTCCTGTCAGTGTAAACCATGCACTTGCACTGCTTACAGTATTTCATTGTGTAATATGCTGAAACATGCTTGGGTAGACCCCACTTTGGGGTCATTCTGAACAGAGCTGATGTGAACACCACAGCACACCTCCTGGTGAACACAGCTGCATGTCTGCTGGGGTCTACCCAGGAAGAGTGGTCAGGGGCTGAGAAGGTTTGTGTGTGCTGCTTAATGGTCTTCCCCCTCCACAGCTCCGCCCACGTGGACTGCCACCAGCAGCCTAGGGCATCCTGCGCTCTGTGCTGTTATTGAGTGAATGCCTATGTCTTGCCAAAATGCACTTTTTGAGATCCCCATCTCTAAAGTGAAGGTACCAGGCCCTGAGCCCCTATGAGATAATTTAGGTCATTAGGATGGACCCCTTGTGAATGGGGTTTTTGCTCTGACAAGAGGCCAGAGACCTCTCTGGCTCCATCCACCATGTGAGGACACCTCAAGAGGCTGGCAGCCTGCCCCCTGAGGGAGGCCCTCTCATGCTGGTACCCTCGACCTGGACATGCAGGCTTCAGAAGCAGGAGAAATGGATTGACCTTGCTTACAAGTTGCCCAGGCTTGCTTGGTTCTAACAGACAACAAAGCCCAACATCACATTCTTGTCAATACTCATACTTCTCCTTTAAGTCATCATGAGGGGATGTATCACTGGAAGCTGGTTTAGAAAGTTCAAGACTTACTGGGTAGCTGATAAATAACCAGGACTTGGAACTAGGGAAGCAGAAGCAGGAGTGTGAAAGAGGATCACTATTTAATGAGCATCACTTATTGTTATTTGTGAGTCTTATCCCTAAGACAACAATAAGTGATGCTCATTAAATAGTGATTATATTAACATTATTATATTTTAAATAATTATATTTTAGAATATAATTGTGCTACATAATACATTAAATAATCATGTTGTATGTTATATACGACTTTTGGTTTTATCTGCTTCACATCTGGGACAATGGAACAAACGAGTTAGTGAAAAAAATCTACACACCCTGAGGTCAGACCATGGTGGGTAATAATAGTGCTGTGCTTTTCTAAGTCCACAGAGGGTTGGGAACTGGTGACATTTGAAAAGACGAAGGTCACGTGCAAACCCACCAACAGAAAATGCCACCGACCTCTTTGCAAGGTTCTGGTTGAAGCAGTAACGGAGACCCAACGGAGGAGAGCTCTCGCGGGAGCAGAGAGCCCGCCAAAGGCCAGTCGGGCCGGCCGCGGGGCCACCCAGTCCCCCTGTCCCCCAGCTCACCTGCCGAGGCCGCGCTGGCAGCGCCTCCCTCGTCCTCCTCTCGCGGGGGGCCTCCGGGGGCCGGTCTGTCCTCCAGGGACGGATCGATGCCCTGCTCCAGCCTGGTGATCAATGTCGGCTTGAAGAAATGACACCCCACTACACACAAGAAAGAAGGTTCAGGCCTCCCAGAAGGCCTCGCCCACGCCAGTGCTGGCCAGAAGGCCCACGCGGGCAGAGGGGGCTCCCCGCGCCCCCACCCAGCGCTCCGACCTCGGCGGGATCCCTGGAGCGCGGGCTCGGGGCAGAGCCGCGGGAGACGTCCGCCCACTCGGATTGGCTCCGCTGCGGTCACGTGACTCCAGCCGGCTCCAATCACAGAGAAGCCAACACTCGCCCTCCCTGCAGCCCGCGCGTTAGACGCGAGCACCCCGCTGGCCGCAGCTCTGTGCCACCACGAGCTGGGCCGGGAAAGGAGGAAGCCAGAGCCATGCCCGGGCCTTCTGTAAAGCTCAGAGCCCTTGAGAGGGCGCGGGGAGGCCGTCCTTACCCAGGGAGGCCAAATTGCTGTAGTTCTCCAGCATCACATCCTTGTACAGGGCCTTCTGCGCAGGCTGCAGCAGCTTCCACTCACTCTGGGTGAAGTACAGGGCTATATCCTTGAAGACCACTGGTTCCTGTAACACCAAAGCCCTGCGGCTCTTCACCCAGGGACTGGTCCCTCCCCTGGCCTCAGAGAGCATGTGCAAAGGTGTGCCAAATCCTGCATGGCCGTAGGCAGTGAGCAGGCTCCTGTTCCTCACCCTACCCCCGTCCATGGCACTCGCTTTGGCCAGTGGGATGTTGGTAAAGGGTGATATATGCAGAAACTTGAAAAAAACTTTGGTAACTGGCAATACTCTTACTGCCCCTCTACTGCTACCAGGAGAAAGAACATGCCCAGGTCAGCCTGTTGGAGCTGGCCAGATGTGTAGAGCCACACTAAGTCCCCCAGGCCCTTGGAGAGCCAGCTTAGACCAGCTGACACCCAGAGTGCACAGGCTGCTCCTAGGAAGGAGCCTCCTAAACAACCCCTTCTGGTAGGTGTTCCTGAATTTCTGTTGTTTGTTGTGCAGCACTGCCATGTCAAGAGACAACTGCTGCGGTATGTTCCCAGTGTTCTTGTGGGGTTGGGAGGTGAGTGCATGCATGCTATGGAACATCAATGCCTGGAAGACTCCTGCCTGTCTTCATTGGCCATCTGGAAAACTCCCAGTTTCCCCATCGGTGATGTAGATACCAAGGATGGTTAGGAGCAGACTCAGGAGCCAGACTTCCTGGGTTTCACTCCTGGTTTGGCCACTTAATTAGCTGTGTGACCTTCGGCAAGTGATGCAAGTGCTCTCTGTGCTTCCACAGGGATAACAACAGTACCTCTCCTCCTGGGTTACTGTGAGGATTGAGTGGATAAGCACGGGTATCATGGTCAGTGCTTGCTATTATTCTAAGTATTGTTTAAATGTGGGTGATCCTAGGCAGTGGGAGATTGATGCAGACTTGGAGATCAGTTTACTCATGTATTCACCATTGCCAGGTGCTGGGGATAAGTTAACCTAACAGACTAGAGCTGTGGTGGACACAACATGCCTACGATTTTGCTCTAAAAATAAAAGTTATAGGTGAATGCATGCCTGCCCAAAGACTACGTTTCCCAGCATCCCACAGGGTCTTGTGACTACATTCTAGCCAATGGGTGTAAGCAGAAGTGACAGATCCATCTTTGCCTTTAGAAGGACCAAAGCTGTCCTTGCTTTCCCATATCCCCACTTACTTGGGGCAGAATGTGAACTGACATGGGGTGAGCCCCCCTCGACCTCCTAGGGAGAGAAACAGGATCAAAGGAGCACCGTGGTGAGCCCCATGCAGTGGTCACTGCCCCCCCCCCCCCCCCCCCCGCCCAACCACCCCCCAAACCCCCCCCGGGCGCCCCCCCCGCCGCCCGCCCCCCCCCCCCCCCCCCCCGCCCTGGATGTTCACACAGGGACCATCCCTGAGTGGAGAGCAACTCATTCTACCCATGTAGCTCCTGAATTCAGAAGACGGCAGCCAAACCTGTGTCCTTCCTGGGCTCACGGTTCAGGGCAGGGAGCAGAGAGATGGACAGAGCCCAGGGACACCTGGATGCAGTGTGGCTGGTGCTGGAGGAGCGGTGCATGCCCAGGAGCACAGAGGACACCTGTGCACGCGTTTTGGGGAACTCTGAAAAGGCTTGAAAGAGAAGATGACAGCCGAGCCGAGTCTCCAGGGACAGAGGAGTCCGCGAGGCAGAGCAGAGCAGTGGGCCCTGAAGGAGGTGAAGGGTGGAGCAGGCAGAGAGCTCAAGACAGGAGGAGGCTGGAGAGGCAGGGAGGTCAGCGCCGCGGGGCAGCGGGCCACATCCTGCTGGGATCCCTGGACAGGCGGCCTCCTGTGCCTTGTTTCCACATCTGCAGGATGGGAAGAAGAGCTAACAGTACTGCCTCTAGGGGATTAGACAGTAAGGGAAGAGCCCCAACAACATTCGTCCCTTGATAAGTTCCGGAAACTCGCTAGCTGCCAGTTAACGCTGTCGCCTTAGCTGAGTTGTTGAAACTATCCGTTGTTGTAAAAATATGCCCACTTCTTTTCCAAGATAAAGCGTCTGCCTCAGTGCCACCACTTGGTAAACGGTAGGCAGGTCTATTGATTTCTGTCTGTACTCTCCTCAGGGGTTATTGTGGTACTCTTTTACGTAATTGACATGCATGCTCACGAGTCCTCAGCTACTTTTGTTATTTCTCCACTTGCAAGAACAAACAGAGGCAGGAACACTTCCACAACTCGCTACACTCATTGTGATCAGAAATGGGGCTCAAAGAGGATCAATTTTCCAAAACTGGAAAATTTCCCATCATTTACCTGCAAACACTTACATGATAGGCATATTCTAAGAACTGCACAATCCATTCTCTATCCTGTAGTAACTCTGTGATGGGCTACTGTGACCAGCCCATTGACAGATGAGGGAGCTGAGAGGCACAGAGGAGTTCAGGAAATAACCCAAGACCACACAGTGGATAGTGGCCAAGGTGAGAGTCTAGGCTCATGGTTTCGCTGGGCTGGGCCCTAACTGGGGGGGCATCAGTGGATGGGAGACTTGGGTCTCTACTCTGTGCCTCTCCCTCTGCAGAACCATCCTTCGCTAGCCCTGGGTTCCTCAGCCATGGCTCCATGGCCACTCGGGCCAGTTCATTCTGACTGAGCACTGTGGGTGCACCCCTGGCCTCCACCCATTAGATGCCAGTAGCATGTCCCCTCAAGTGTGGCAACCGAAACAGGTCCACACATTGCCAAAAGGCCCTGGAGGGAAGGTGCTTCCAGGCGAGAGCCACAGCCTTCCTCCATGCTTCCCTTTCTTGGTTTGTGGGACAGGCAAAGACACCCACCCCCTTCCACTTCAGGGACATGCACATGGCCCAGGGTGGGCCCATGAGGGTCCGGCATCCCCCGTTATTGCTTGGTTAAATGGTGGGCATGTGATTCACAATGGGCCAATCAGAATATTTCCTACCCCTAGGTTATGGCTTGATCTAAAGGTGCCTCTTCACTGATGGCCTATTAGTTGTAATGAGGAAAACGGGAAAGTATTCAGTGGAGAAAATAGAAAACTATCTTGACCAGGATCAAAATGAGCAGCCACCATCGATGACTGACAGGCCACATGCAGACCCGGATGTGAGGCTCTAAGCAGGCACAGCATTACCTGTGCCTGCCTGTATTCTGGGCACAAATGCATTAGATCAATCTAGTTCAAAGAAAAATGCACCCCCAGACCCAAATGCAGCAGTGACTCTATAGTCTTCAAAAACATCAGTGTCATCAGAGGCAAAAAATGGCCAACAAGGTTTTCTAGACTAAAGGAGATTTCTTCATGACCACTAATTGCAACACTGCCACAGAAAGAATCCTGCAGTGGAGAAGAGAGGATGCAAAAGTGGATGGCATTTAGCACATTTTCAAGACAGGGATGTTGAGAGCAGTTTTGATTAAAAGCATTGTACCAATGTTAAACGTATGAAGGTTATAACAGTACTGGGGTTATGTAGGAGAAGACTCTTAGGAGACACAGAAGTGTTTGGGGCAGGTGCTGTGTGCACTCTGTGCTCAATGGTTCTGAAGGTAATATACGTATCATGATAGAGAGTGCAGAGGACGAAGCCAATAGGAGAAACATTAACAGATGGTGAAGCCAGGTGCGCTTACTAGTGTTGCACTTTTCTTGTGAGTTTTAAATTATTTCCATAATATGCACATATATTTTCTCTGTGTTTGTGTGGGAGGAGTGTTGCTGGCACTAACAGGAAAGTCATTTCTGTCCTTTGGGATGCTTCTGAAGGTAGTGCTGGTGTGACAAGAGAGGCTGCCTCTCTGGATCTCCTTTCCAGCCTCTCATTCACCATAAGGGCCATCAGTGTAGCATTTCCACCTGTTTGGCAATCCTGGAGTCCCTCACAAGTCCCAGAGCCAATTCTCCTTGGCCAAGACTGAGTCACATGCCTGGCCCTCAGCCAGTCACTGTGGTCCTGGGCATAGTATGCTCTGATTGGCTAGAGGAATGCCAGGAGAAGGGACAGGATCTGCTTCACCCAAAGTGGGTGGCAGACAGGAGTCTACAAGGAAAGATCAAGGGTGTAGGGGCTGGGGATGTGGCTCAAGTGGTAGCGCACTCGCCTGGCATGCGCGGGGCGCTGGGGGTGCTGGGTTCGATCCTCAGCACCACATAAAAAAATGGAGTAAAGATGTTGTGTCCACCGAAAACTAAAAATAAATATTAAAATTTTTTTTTTTTAAAAAAAGAGTGTAGAAAGGAGGGGGCAGCTGCCGGCCTCCACCCACTGATCCTCTTTCCCTCCCTGCATTCACACTGCTGCCCCGTGCATTCCGTCCACTCTCCAGCCCGGCCGTTCCTAGGCCAGGGCTCTGTCAGTGAACAACAGATGAGATTCCTGTCCTCCCCAGTGTAGTGGGGCAGCAGCGGATGGACACATGACAGCACACTGTCAGGTTCCCCAGGTGTAGCGGGGCAGCAGCGGATGGACACATAACAGCACACTGTCAGGTGGCAACCTTCCTCTGAAGAACTGAAGCATGATAAGGGGTAGAGAGCGATGGACTAAGTGACCAATTTGTTCTGCAGTGATGGGAATGTACCCAGGGTGTCACCCAAACTGGACTAGGGCTCCACCATGGAGCTATGTCCCCCGCCTGATGGGTAGCATTTGACCAGAGACAGGAATTAGGAAACCGGAGGCAGGGAAGAGAGGAAAACCACCCTCCTCTGGGTGCAGTGCCCACCAAGCTAGAGCAGGGTCTCAGCTGGGCAGAGAGGGCAAGAAACATATCTGCCCTCTCCAAATAGAGCTGGCTTCTGGCCGTTGAGGAAACAATCAGCTCACCTTGCTCCAGGCTGGTAGAGATGTGGCCAGCAGTCTTCCCTTCCTTTTGGAAAGCTTGGTTGGGGTAGGACTCGGACTCTTCGGAGGCAGGGCTGGAGGAGGAGGGGGAGAGTCATGAGGCCAGCCTGGCATCTGAGGGCTGGAAAACTCACCCATAAAACCTTAGCAATGAGAGAAGTGACTGGAGCCAAGGCGGATGGACCAGGTTCTGTGCTTGGGTGCATACCTTTCATAGCAACTCTAGCAAAAGAAACCAAAAACAAGGCCCCTAATGGTGTGCATGCTAAACTGCCACATGTATGAAAAAAATTGTTCATAAATATGTGATAACAGACACACATGTGTAGTTGTTTGTGTGTGCCCAGAGCTTCCTGCAGGAACTGGACGGTACTGCCTCTGGGGAGTGAGGAAGCAGAGGCCGGGTTACTCTTGACCTTGACGGTGAAGTCAACACATGTGCAATCTTTTCCCTCCTCATCACAACATTTGACTCTGCAAGGCAGACGGGAAGGAGGAAATGCCCAGGAAACCCCATGCCCCTGACTGCACCACTAAGATTCTGCCGTCCACGTGGTCAGGTCTCCTCTGCCCTCTGTCAATCCATCTTAGAGTCTGGTGCAGTCCATAGCAGGTCACAGGCTGCAGTTCATTTCCTCCTAAGCATTTTTAGAGGCGTGTCCTTAGGGAGAGTTCATGATTCATTCGCCTGAGTTTAGGTAAGATTTACATACAGGGAAGCGGACACCTCTCAGGGGCATCATTCCAAGGAGCTGAGACACACAGAGACCTGTGCAACCAGATGCCCACTGAGATAGAGACCTCTACACATCTGTTTACACTTTCCAATCAAAACATGAGATTGAAAATGTTAAAAGAAGATTTAGTTCCCAGATTAAATCGTACACATTGTTCTTAGCACAGGGTTTCCAGAGCAGAAATCAAACTGGGTTAGTTTGGCCTTGATCTTGGCCCTCAGGACCACAAAGCTAGAAATACCCCGCCTCCCTGAGTTGGATTGGGGAGGAGTTCACCCTCCCCACCTCCAAGACTCTTCCCACCTCCTGGAATCTCCTCACCTCCCACAATCTCCTCACCTCCTGGAATCCCACTTCCCTGTGCCTCCTCACTCCCCTGAGTTTCTCCATCTCCCATTCTAGAGTGGAGACAGCATGTGCAAAGGCTTGAGTCGGGTGATTTAAGGCCAAGAAAGGCTCCAGGGCCTGGATCCTGTGAGCCTGAGGGAGATGTGGGTGATGGAGTCAGAGGGCGACTGGGGAAAGGCACCCGGGCCACCGGGGTGGCACAATGGGTCAGTTTTGAAGATCTCCTGTGTTTTACGGCACCTCTGCCTGGGAGGGGCAGCCACCCAGGAGCATCCTTTCTGGCCCAGAGGAAGTGACAATTTTCTGAACATCTTCACGAAATCAGTCTCAGGTTCTGTAGCACAGCAACATGCCACGTGACCCTCCTTTGGCTAAGCGACCAATGATGGGTCACCATCCTGGGGATCATCCCAGAGAGATGAAAGTGTCCACACGGCAGCCTAGAGATGCGCACCTTCACCCCCAGCAGGGAGAACCTGAGCCCACTCCAGCAGCCTCGAAAGGAAGCCCACTGGGGTCCACTGGCCGTGGGGAACGCTTCCTGGGAACCAGGTGTCTGGACTAAGCTTCCATGGAGGTCCAACAGACCCAACCAAACAGAACCGAGGCACTCACGCTGGATGTGTTGAAATCAAGCCCAACTTCCAAACAAGCCGCTTTCCCCACACCAGGACATTAGCAGCAGCTCACCAGAGGGGCCCCTTACCCAACCAGATTGACAAGGAAATCTCTCTGCTTTCCCGAAAGTAAAGCAGCTTTGAAAAGAACAAAGTGGTTTACTTTGTTCCCTTTCTGCTTCTTCACCTTTTCAGCCTGTAAAGTGGTTTTCCACTGCTCCCTTCATCAGAGAACCTGAGTCTTTACATGAGATGCTACCCAATTCTAATTGGCCAATAAGAGCCACTGAAATCTGTTGGAAAAAAAAAATTTGTTTTTTTCTGGTACTAGGGATTGACCCCAGGGGTGCTTTACCACTGAGTCACCTCCCTAGTCCTTTTCATTTTTTATTTTGGGACAGGTCTCATTAAGTTGCTGAGGCTGGCCTCGACCTTGATCCTCCTGCCTCTGCCTCCTGAATAGCTGAGATTACAGGAGTGTGCCACCATGTCAGACTTGCAGTTTTTTTTTTTTTTTTTTTAATATTTATTTATTTTTTTTAGTTCTCGGCGGACACAACATCTTTGTTTGTATGTGGTGCTGAGGATCGAACCCGGGCCGCACGCATGCCAGGTGAGCGCGCTACCGCTTGAGCCACATCCCCAGCCCCTGCAGTTTTGTTTTGAACACTACTAGCCAGCAATAAAGAGGAATGAATGAAGTGTTTATGTGCAACAGAGCTAAGACAGGTCTCAAGCACACTGTGCAGAGCAAAAAAAAAAAGGAAGACCTCAAAAGGTCGCAGACTGAAAAGCTCCCATTGAACATTCTTTAAATGACGAAATTCAGAGGGAGAACAGAGGAGTAATTGATGGTGGGCAGGGGTGGGTTAGGGTTAGGGTTAGACAGGGAGCTCAGGTGGGCAGGGTGGGTGTGGCTCTGACAGGACAGGAAGTCAGGTGGGCAGGGTGGGCGTGGCTATGACTGGACAGGGAGCTCAGGTGGGT